TCTCCTCTCTCTCTCCACCTTCTCTCTCTCATTTGTTTCCCTCTCTTTTCAATCTCCCTCATTCTCTCCCTCCATCATTTTCTCATTTCTCTCTCTCTTTCTCCCCTTTTCTCTCTCTCCTCTCTCTCTCTCTCTCTCTCTCCACTTTCTCTCTCTCATTTGTTTCCCTCTCTTTTCAATCTCCCTCATTCTCTCCTTCCCTCATTTTCTCATTTCTCTCTTTTTCTCCTCTTTTCTCTCTCTCCTCTCTCTCTCTCTCTCTCCACCTTCTCTCTCTCATTTGTTTCCCTCTCTTTTCAATCTCCCTCATTCTCTCCCTCTATCATTTTCTCATTTCTCTCTCTCTTTCTCCCCTTTTCTCTCTCTTCTCTCTCTCTCTCTCTCTCTCTCGTGTGCCCATGCACAAGCAGGAATACCCTCCGCAAGCGAGTGGAGCGGTGCTGCCAGCGGCGTTGATTGAAAAGCGTCCTCCAGTTAGCTTTAAATCTCGCACGGGGGACTTTCGCCGCCCGGAGGACGCTTTTCAGTCAACGCCACTCAGCTGGAAGAGTAAAGAAGCTCAGGGCAGCGGGAAAAGGGAGCTGGCCCCGCTGAACCTCGCATGCCCACCCCGGGGATCAGACTCGGAGAAAGCCGGAGCACCCTCGCCAAAGACTCTCGCCCATCAGTTGGACAACCTGCCTGCTCAGCGCGCCTTCCCTGCACTTTGGCCAAGCCCGGCCGCTCGCTTGAGGTTATCCGCACTTGTGCGCGCCCTCCTGATCCCGCAACAGCCGGCCAGGGGGTCGCGTGAGGAGGAGGGGGGTCATCTTCGGGGAAGCCACCAGCGTGACTTGTGCTCGCTCCTCAGCTGCGGTCCTGCCCCCCCACCTTTCCGGCGTACCCTCCTCCCGGATCCCATTCCCACCCCGGCATCCCTCGTGTTAGCGAGGTTGGCGTCGGCCACGGCCGGCTTTATTATTATTATTATTATTATTATTATTATTATTATTATTATTATTATTATTATTATTATTTATTCAATTTATATACCGCCCTTCTCCTAGTGGACTCAGGGCAGTGCGCAGCCAAGGATAAAGGATACGGGCTTGGGCCAGTATCTCGGGGCGGAGAGCAGGTTGCGCAACCAGGTTGGCAGGGAGGAGTCAAAGAGCCACATGCGACTCTGGAGCCACAGGTTACCGACACCCGGTCTAGTTTAATGACAAGAGGGACGAGGAGTGACACGATAGCAAGGTTCTAATATTTAGTTTAATTTAGTTTTAGTTTTATTAAATTTATATAGCGCCCTACTCCCGAAGGACTCAGGGCGGTGAACAGGCACAAAAAAAAATACATAAATACAAAAGTTAGAAACAATTCAAAACCAAATTAAATAATTTAGCCCAAGACAATTAAAAAACACCATAATTTAAAACAAATTAAAATTTCAGTTTAAAAAATTAAAAAGAAAGGCGAGAAAATTAGGCCAGGCCGGCTTGCTGGAATAGGAGGGTCTTAGGAGCACGGCGGAAAGTGCGCAGATCTGGGATTTCCCCAAACCTATTCTCCAGATCAACTGAAGGCAGGACCAGAAACTAACCAAGGAGAGAGAAATAACTTCATCAATGCTGGGAGGGAATGGAGTTTGCTCTCTGCTTACGTACAGGAGCTATAGTAAACAATCACCAAGGAGGAAACACCCTTTTCACCAACACTATAGCGGCAAACTACTTGTATACAAAGAGAGAGCAAACCCCAGACCAGGGGTGGGTTCTACTTCCCTTTACTACGGGTTTGCAATGGGATCGCTTCTACGCATGCGCAGATCGCCTATGACAACATCCGGGGCGGGGGCGGAGCCTCCCACTGGTTTTACGACCGGTTCTTGCGAACCAGTCTGAACCGGGGTCAACCCACCACTGCCCCACACTCCCTTCTAGCACTGATGATGTTACCTAGTTGGGTCTAACAACTGTTGCAAGAAAGGTCCTAATATAGGGTGAAACTCATTTAACCACTGTCTCGCTTAGCAACAGAAATTTTGGGCTCAATTATGGTTGTACATCATAGAGCAGTGTTTCTCAACCTTGGAAGCTTGAAGATGGGTGGACTTCAACTCCCAGAATCCCCCAGCCAGCGCTGCTGGCTGGGGGATTCTGGGAGTTGAAGTCCACCCATCTTCAAGCTTCCAAGGTTGAGAAACACTGTCATAGAGTGTATCTGTATCCCAGCTATTGTTAAAAATGTGATGCCTATAAAGGGATAACATGAACTTTCACGGACATTCTCTACAGGAAGTCCTCGACTTATGACCCCAATTGAGCCCAACATTTCTGTTGCTAAGTGAGACATTCGTTAAGTGGGTTTTGCCCCCTTTTGCGAACTTCCTTGCCTCTGTTGTTAAGGGAATCATAGCCATTATTAAGTTACGAACGTGGTGGTTAAGCGAATCCGGCTCCCTCATGGTCTTTACCAGACAGAAGGTCGCAAAAGGGGATCACGCGACCCGACACTGCAACCGTCATAAATGCGAGTCAGTTGCCAAATTTGCAAAGGTGGTAAGTGTGAAAAAGGATCCTTTTTTTTTCTTTCAGTGCCGTTGTACCTTTGGCCACTAAATGAACTGTTGTAAATTGAGGACTACCTGTATTTATAGAGAATTAATGCATACAGATTATTTTGTCTCCAAATGACATTTAGGTTCAAAGGAGAAGACCCCTCCGAGAAGCCAACAGGCTCCCATCAAAGTCTGGAAAACAAAACGGGAACTCATGTTCCCGGGAAGGAAGAAGAGAATCTGGATGCAGACAGTGACTCGCGATCCGATAGCAGCGATGGCGAAGAGACAGTAGCCGAGGGAGTCCCGGAGAAACGCGGCGAGCAGAAGGCTTCCGGGGAAGATGATGGGGACTTTCGTGGTCGCCAATTGAAGAAAAACCTGAGAGACTCCCGATCTCCCAGTGAGGAGAGACCTCCGCGCTCCCCTCCAGCAGAGAAGCGAGACCGCCGAAGGGACGAAGCTCACCAGCGCGACGAAAGGAATAGCCAGAGAAGACACGGAAAGGACGAGCGAAGCCGGACCGACGGTCATCATAGGAGGCGAGAAGACCGAGAGGACCGGCACAGGAGGAAGGACTGGGAGGAGGAAGAGGAGGAGGAAGAGAAGCGAGACCCGAGGAGAGGAAGAGACAAGAAGGAACATCGGGCCAGAGAGAAAGACCGAGATGGAGACAAGGAAAAAGGGCGGGGAAGAGATGCAGACCGAGACGAGAAGCCGAAACACGCGAGGAAACGCAGCTCGGGGTCCGTGGCCCAAGAAGACGCCCAAACTCAAGAGGGGAACCCTCCCAGCCCAGAGAAATCCCCCGAGTTGACCCACAAGGCTTCTGAAGACAGCAAAGAGACCCCGGAGAAGCCGGCCGAGAAAGTCAACAAATTCGCTAAACGCAGCAACCAGGAGAGCGTCTCGTCCGCCCGGGACCGTTACCTCTCCCGGCAAATGGCCCGCGTGGGCCCCAAATCCTATGTGGAAAAAGAGGAAGATTAGGTGGGGCTACACCGGTGGGATCGCAGGAGGGACTTTGGTTGGGAATCTCAGGGCCTTTCGAGCGGAGGGAAGGAGCGGGCTATTTATTTCAAAAGGTTCTGGATGCGAGAAGCAACAGGACGGATCTCGGAGGGAGCCGAGTCTCATTTTAGCCGGGAGTCAGTTGGGCTGCAGAGCCTTTTGAGGCTCGGCCTCGGCTGAAAGACCTTCCGAAACATTTCCTCAAGATCCACAAATTTGAGGAAGGAAAAGCATGCAGATGATACAAGATCAGGGATAATCTTGTTTTCTTTCTTTTTGTTTTGTTTTCTTTTGTTTTAAATGCAGATGTAAAGATTAGGCGTTTCCGTCCAGCGTTTTCTGACTTCTGACTTCTAGAGCCAGCAAAATAAAGTGAAAAAAAAAAGAAAATGATTATTTTAGGCTCCAGTTGTTGTTGTTTCTTAATCCGTGCTAAATCTTAATTCAACTTTGTTATTTCTGATCCTAAAGTGTGAATTTGAGGAAATCCCCCATCCGTTTCAACACTGGTGATGCTACCTACAGTAGTTTGGTAATGAAAACATCATCATCGTTTAACGATCCCATCATCCCTTGCGGGGCGCAGTTTGGGCAACTGAATGGAGCTGACTGTTTACTGGCCAGATGCCCTTCTTGTCACCAGTGAGGAGTTTTGTTCAGTAGATATATTCTCATTCTGCCCAGAGAGAGAAATATTTGCCTCTACCTAGGATCAAACTCATGTGAGGCAAGAGCTCCATCTCTAGGCCACTCCCTACCACTCCCTAGTTTGGTAATGAAATGTTTCCCCCCCCCTCCTCCCTCTCTTTCTCTTTGCAAACACCCCTCTCTTCTAGCACTGATGATGTTACCTACTTGGGTCATAAGACGTCTGCAAGAAAACCTCAAGAACCAAGTTCAACCTTGAACTCCGAATACTCCCTTCTGTTAGCTAAGTGTGAACAGTCAGCATATATACCCTTGAGCCAAATCAAAAAATGCGGGCCATAAAATAGGAAATTTCCTGCTGCGTATCAGCTTTTCTGGACCAGATCTGGTGCCAAAGAGTTTGTAAATCGGCCGTAAGAGGATCCTGCTATCTCCGTCTTATCAAGAGGAACCTGGCAGCGTCCATGTTTTTATAACGCCCTTCCAGCCAAACTCCGTTCCTTTCCCGGCTCACTTTCTCACAACCTTTTCTGAAAGGGTTGCATCAACACTGCTGCTTTTGAAGAAAAAAAAAAAACCACACATTTCCCCAAAGGAAATTCCAAGTTGTTTGTTAAAAACTCTTGTTTGGAACTCTCTGTTCCATTAAACCAGTGTTTCCCAACTTTGGAAGCTTGAAGATGGGTGGACTTCAACTCCCAGAATCCCCCAGCCAGTGATGCTGGCTGGGGGATTCTGGGAGTTGAAGTCCACCCATCTTCAAGCTACCAAGGTTGAGAAACACTGCATTAAACCAAGAATCATCAACCATGGCCCCTTTAAGACGCACGGACTTCAACTCCCAGAATTCCGCAGCCAGCATAGCTGGGGAATTCTGGGAGTTGAAGTCCACACCTCTTAAAGGGGCCACGGTGGGAAAACACTGCATTTAAACCCCCTCCTGTCCTCAATCCGCATCCTGTTTGCTTTTGACTCGGCGTCCGATGTTGGAAAATACCCTCGACGTCAGATATTGCATTTATCTTCCCGAATGAAGTTTAAATTTCTTAAAAAGAGATCTCTTTGTTGGCGTGAAACTTCTCTCGTGTTTACATCCCGTGTCCTGGAAAGCCTTTCGGAGGGGGCTGTTGTATTTTCTGGTCGCTATGGAGACAGTGTGGGGGGGGGAACCATTTTTTATTTTTTATTGCCAACTCCCAAAATAGATGCTTTCCTGTGGCTTTGCACATGGTGTGGGCGAACCTATTAAAGAGAATTTTTAGGGGATTTCTTTCCCTTTGCGGTTGAATTTGGTGGAAATTCCCCTCGCGGATTTCTGACGTCGAGGGTTTTCCCGAATCTTCTACTAAAAGCTTTATTCAATGTTTAAAACAAAAGCAGATAAAAGCTAGCAGAAACCGTAGGTAGTCCTCGTCTTATGGCTGCAATTGAGCCTAAAACGTCTGTGGTTAAGCGAGTACTATCAGTGCTAGAATGGAGTGGGGTTTGTGGAGAGGAGGAAGACGATGACTGGGGGGGTCCTTGGTGCTCTCTGAGCTTGGTGGTCTTCTGGGGGACGTCTCATGACCCAACTAGGTAACGTCATCAGTGCTAGAAGTGATCAGCTGAGTCCCGCACTACAAATATCCTCTTCTACCGATTAGCAAGTCCCAAGTAGAAACCTTTCCCCCACCTATGCAGCCCACGAAACTCGGGAGGGTCCCTTCTGAGCTTGAATGACTCTTCCACAAGTGTTAAGGGACGCACTTAACCCTGGGGTCGGAGGAATCCCGCGGTAGCTCTGAGGATGAGGCCTCTCCGCAGTGTACAGGCAGTCCTTGACTTACATGCATTCATTTAATGACCTTTTTTTAAAAAAATTTGATTTATATGCCGCCCTTCTCCGGAGACTCAGGGCGGCTCACAATGCGTTAAGCAGTAGCCTTCATCCTTTTGTATATTTATACAAAGTCAGCTTATTGCCCCCACAAACTGGGTCCTCAATTTACCTACCTTAGAAAAGATGGAAGGCTGAGTCAACCTTGAGCCTGGTGAGATTCGAACTTGCAGTAATTGCAGACAGCTGGTCTTAATAACAGGGTGCTTTAGACCACTGTACTACCAAGGCTCTATTTGAAGTTACAATGACACTGGAAAAAGTGACTTGCGACCGCTTTTCACATTTACAACCGTTCCAGCATCTCTTCGGTCACGTGACCGAAATGCTTGGAAACTGGCATGTACTTATGACGGTTGCAATGCTCCTGGGTCACGTGATTCAACATTAATTTTGATGGGTTGCTTTTATTTTATTTTTGAATGATTCGGGGCCAAATTATTTTAATGTGTTTTTAAATTGCTTTTAAATTTTATATATGTGTTTTGTTTTATTTTTGGGCTGTGCACCGCCCTGAGTCCTTCGGGAGAAGGGCGGTATAAAAATTAGATTAAATAAATAAATAAATTATCCCTGGCGGCCTGACAAGCAAAGTCTGCAGGGGAGCCAGATTCACTTAACAACCATTGTTACTAACCTGAACAGCCGCAGTGATTCACTTAACAACTGTGGCAAGGAAGGTAGTAAGATGAGGCAAAAAAACTCAACTGTCTCGCTGAGCGACAGAAATTTTGGCCTCGATTTTGGTCGTTAAGTCGAGGAAACGACCTGCAGTTTCTCTTTAGCTTTTAATGGTTTTTGTTTAAACCCTTGAATAAAGCGAATATATATATATATATATATTTGTTTTCTGAGGTTTTCGCGGGTGTTTGTATGTAGGTCTTTGGTTATTCGGGTTTTCTCCCGTGTAAAATTGGAGGTTTCTTGGCAACGTTTCGACGAAGTCTCATTCGTCATCTTCAGGCTGGTGTTCTCGGCTTCGTGCCTCTAGGAGCAATGTGTGTGATCGCAGCTGTTTCTTCCTTTTAACACCTCTGCCCAATCAGAACACAGCCAAGCTCCCACCCAATCAGTTCACACCCCCACTGGCAGTTAAAAGGAAGAAACAGCTGCGATCACACACATTGCTCCTAGAGGCACGAAGCCGAGAACACCAGCCTGAAGATGACGAATGAGACTTCGTCGAAACGTTGCCAAGAAACCTCCAATTTTACGCGGGAGAAAACCCGAATAACCAAAGACCTACACACACACACACACACACACACACACACACACACACACATATATAAAGTGTTTCCATTATCTAAAACGATTAAAAGGTATTAAGCAATCTTTCGGCTCGTCCTTTCAATTTTAGTCAATCATTTGTCACCAGAAAGGCAGAGAGGGTACAACTTCCATTTTATTGTCACACTTAAACTTTTATTACAACACCTGACTTTGCCAAGACACAAACAAATAACACCACTTGGCACATTCCAGAAAAGCAGCAACCTAAGATAACAAAGATAAGTTTGGCCTATTGCACCCTTGAGGGCCTTATTCTGTAAAAGAAAACTCCAGTTTTTTTTTAAATTTCTCTGTACAAAAAAAAAATGACAACGCACAACTTCCAGGTTTGCACGGAATGGGGAGCTTTGGCTTTGAGAAGCGTTGGACAAACCTGTTCTAAACTTTTTCTGCAGTGATCCACTGATCCAGAAGAAGCAAATTCTCCTTCTCTGGATCAACAGATCGCTTTTAAGACTTATTTTCTGGGAGACGTTGAAGGATTCCACAGGTGAGCATCTTCCAAAGAGCAGCAGCATCATAAATCACACTTCTCCGATAGTTTTCGCCTAGTCCAGGTGACGAAGTAGTTTCACACCTTGTTTTGCAGAATTATTGTACACACACATTCACACAACTCACGCACTTTACACGTGGTTTCACCAGTTTATAGTTTAACCCTCATTAAAAAAAAAAAAGAAGAAGAAAAGGCATCTGTTTGATCCAGAGGAAACTTTCCCGCCAGCTTCCTGCAAAAAGGGGATATCTCACGGCAGGTACTACCAGGTTTAGATGGATTGTGAAAGCTCCTAGTAGACACCCACACCACACACTCGGGGGGGGCGGGGAGGAAGGGCACGCTGGCCCTTCCCTCTGCTGCAGTTTGACCGCAGGGAAAAAGGCCTCTAGCAAGAAGAGGCTGACTTGGGGCCTGGATCATCCAAGGAGTATATTGATAGTAGAGACCGTTAGTAGCTCAGGGATGAGCTGTGGGGTCCTTGGGTTGGTTTTCCTTGCAGACGTTTCATGACCCAACTAGGGAACAGCATCAGTGGTAGAAGGGAATGGGGTTTGTGGAGAAGAGGAGGAGGAGGAGACTGTGGGATCCTTGATGCTCGCTGAGATTGGTGGCTTTTTGTAGATGTCTCATGACCCAACTAGGGAACATCATCAGTGCTAGAAGGGTGTGGAGTTTGTGGAGAGGAGGAGTGGGGAGGAAGAGGAGGAGGAGAATGGGGAGGGGTTTGTGGGCAGGAGGAGGAAGAAGAAGAAAAGAGGAGGAGGAGGAGGAGGAGGAGGAGGAGGGGGCCTGTGGGGTCCTTCGTTTTTTCCCTGAGCTTGTTTCCTTGCAGACATTTCATTACCGAACTAGGTAACATAATCAGTGTCCTCTGTGCAAGGCTTACAGTGAGCAATGCCCCACTTTCTTCTAAGCACTGATGATCTTACCCACTATGGTGATGAAACGTCTGTAAGAAAAAAAACTAACCTCAGAGGGCACCAAAATATGTACATATAATTTTTCAGGGCTCTACTGGAGTCTGCATTTTGTGGACAGAGGGAACTATTTCCAGCTGGGCAGAGAACATCTGGCTACGTCCATTGAGCACTTCCTACCTCCTGGCCTCCTTCAGATGGGGTGGGGGGTGGCGGAGTGGGAGGGGCGAGCCTGCAATTAAATTACAACCGACTCTTCAACATAAAAGTCCAGATTAGGGAGGATTCCATAAAAGGACAGAATAACAAGAGTTGGAAGGGACCTTGGAGGTCTTCTAGTCCAACCCCCCTACTTAGGATCTCAGCTTAGCTTAGACTGAACTGCTTTCAGATGTGGGATCCTCCACACACCCCTTCAGTTAAGGAAAACCACACCAAACCACGCATACACACATACACACAGGGTTTTGTCAAGGAGGGGTTGGCTCTTTGGAGCGCCTTGATTCAATGCTAGTTTTCCAGCTGCGGGGAATTTAATTCCCCCCCCCCTTCTTCCAGAAGTTTTGGGCAGGTGACATTCTTAAACTCTCTCTCTCTCTCTCTCTCTCTCTCTCTATCTATCTATCTATCTATCTATCTATCTATCTCTATCTCCCCCCCCTCTCTATCTCTATCTCTATCTCTATCTCCCCCCCCCCCTCTCTCTCTCTCGTAAGGTTTGAGCTGGCCTTTAGCTAGGATTAAGCTAAGATCACGATGAACAAACCTGGATGGACCCTTCCAGCTTTTGTTTTTTTTGGGGGGGGTGGTTTTTTTCCCACCTAGGATTTGCAACGACACAACAGAGGGTTTAATCACAAAGGAGTGGGGTGGGGGGGTGTCACACAACAGACCAAGTTTGCACAGAGGTGGCTCTAAGTAGACACTCATAACTTGCACAGAGGGCCCAACGAAGGCCGGAGGGAAAAACCACGCATGCATTCAGACAGCTCCAGGTCCAGGGGACGCAGATTTTCACTTGCACTCAAGTGTTCAAAAAGAAAGTCACGGCCATTCGGAAGAGCCCCCGCCGGGGTGGGGGGGAGCCAAACGCCCCCCACCCACCCCCCAATTTCCGGGTTGTTGTTTTCTCTGGAATCGCTCGTGGATCTTCCGTGGTCCTCCATGCCAAGAACGTTCCCTGGTGGACATTCCCGTCTTTGGAATAGAGCTTTGGGAAGCAAACGGGAGGCAGGATTCGGGCCCTTTACCTTGCCTCGGCCTTCTCCCCCTCCCCAAAAAATGTGGGGGGGGGCCCGGCCTAAGCGGCATTCATGTGGATCTCATCGAAGGGAACCTCCGTGGACGTCTCGGGCGTGATGCTCTTCAGGAGACGCTGCGGAGGAGACGAACACAACGGCAGTGAGAGAGAGAGAGAGAGAGCGACCATCAGGGGCCTCGGAGGGACCCCAGAGGTGGACAGGAGGCACCCCAAGTTCCTCCCCAAGGAGGCATGGGAGGGGGCTTCAGAGATTAGGGGATCCTGGGAGTTGACATCCAGCTATTTTAAATCATTCTGTCTGGGGATTCAGGGAGTGGAAGCCCACCCCTCTTAAAGGATGCTTGCTGGGGGATTCTGGGAGTGGAAGTCCTCCCCTCTTAAAGCATGGCTGGCTGGGGGATTCTGGGAGTGGAAGTCCTCCCCTCTTAAAGCATGGCTGGCTGGGGGATTCTGGGAGTGGAAGCCCACCCCTCTTAAAGCATTGCTGGCTGGGGGATTCTGGGAATGGAAGTCCACCCCTCTTAAAGCATTGCTGGATGGGGATTCTGGGAGTGGAAGCCCACCCCTCTTAAAGCATTGCTGGATGGGGATTCTGGGAGTTGGAGTCCACCCCTCTTAAAGCATTGCTGGATGGGGATTCTGGGAGTGGAAGCCCACCCCTCTTAAAGCATTGCTGGATGGGGATTCTGGGAATGGAAGCCCACCCCTCTTAAAGCATTGCTGGATGGGGATTCTGGGAGTTGGAGTCCACCCCTCTTAAAGCATTGCTGGCTGGGGGATTCTGGGAGTGGAAGCCCACCCCTCTTAAAGCATGGCTGGCTGGGGGATTCTGGGAGTGGAAGTCCACCCCTCTTAAAGCATTGCTGGCTGGGGGATTCTGGGAATGGAAGCCCACCCCTCTTAAAGCATTGCTGGATGGGGATTCTGGGAGTGGAAGCCCACCCCTCTTAAAGCATTGCTGGATGGGGATTCTGGGAGTGGAAGCCCACCCCTCTTAAAGCATTGCTGGATGGGGATTCTGGGAATGGAAGCCCACCCCTCTTAAAGCATTGCTGGATGGGGATTCTGGGAGTTGGAGTCCACCCCTCTTAAAGCATTGCTGGCTGGGGGATTCTGGGAGTGGAAGTCCACCCATCTTCAATTTGCCAAGACCGAGAAGTACCAGAATGGAGTATTCCATCTCAGGTAGCTTCCTCTGTTGATGAACAAGCTCACCCTTGGTCTTCCCTCTGCACTTCCTTCACCTGCCCCCTCCCCCACAGGCCCAGCCTACCTCTTTCAGCGTCCCCGGAGTCCTTGCCAACCGATAAACCATGTAGGCAGGGATGCAGATGAAGGAGGAAGTCCCAATGCAATAGCCCAGCACCATGGTCCAGTATGGGTAAGTGTAGTCAAAGAGGCGGATTTCGGGAGGGCTGGCTACGAAGCTGCAGAGGATGAACTGGAGAAGACCCGAATGTCTTAGCTGGTGGAGCAGAACCCAAAGACTGAAGGTCCAGACTCACCACCAGTGGTCAGTCTGGGCCTTCAGATCTACTCGGTGGAGAAGAACCCAAAGACTGAAGATCCAGACCCACCACCAGTGGTCAGTCTGGGCCTTCAGACCTACTCGGTGGAGAAGAACCCAAAGACTGAAGGTCCAGACCCACCACCAGTGGTCAGTCTGGGCCTTCAGACCTACTCGGTGGAGAAGAACCCAAAGACTGAAGGTCCAGACCCACCACCAGTGGTCAGTCTGGGCCTTCAGACCTACTCGGTGGAGCAGAACCCAAAGACTGAAGGTCCAGACCCACCACCAGTGGTCATTCTGGACCTCCAGACCTACTCGGTGGAGCAGAACCCAAAGACTGAAGGTCCAGACCCATCACCAGTGGTCATTCTGGACCTCCAGACCTACTCGGTGGAGCAGAACCCAAAGACTGAAGGTCCAGACCCATCACCAGTGGTCATTCTGGACCTCCAGACCTACTCGGTGGAGCAGAACCCAAAGACTGAAGGTCCAGACCCATCACCAGTGGTCATTCTGGACCTCCAGACCTACTCGGTGGAGCAGAACCCAAAGACTGAAGGTCCAGAACCTTCAGACCTACTCAGTGGAGCAGAACCCAAAGACTGAAGGTCCAAACCCACCACCAGTGGTCATTCTGGACCTTCAGACCTACTCAGTGGGGTAGAGACCTCGGGCCACAAGAAGACACTGAGGAGCACCAGCCCACCCTCCAGTTGGACAGTGGGATCTCAGCCAGGAGGCATCAGGGCCGCAAGTCCAGAAGAAGACCACACATGGGACAAATGTCGGCGTGTTTAGACAGGCTGGAGTGATGCCACCTTCAGGATGCCCCTTCCAGTAGCTCCATCCCAACTTTCATTCCCCCGGATTCCCAGGATCCTAAAGGACTTGTCCGATCTTCACCAAACCCATCCTCCACTCCAAACTCCATCCAGCTAGAGAGACCCTGCAAACGGCCCCTGCGGAAAACCCTTCCCCTCCTTGCAAACCCCCCATTCGCTTTGGAAAAAAGCATCTTTCTTTCTTTTTTAAAAAAATTCTGTTTAACGCTGTGGATTTTTAGCCCTCTTGGGGTTGTTTTTGCCTCTTAAAAAACGAAAGAAAGCAGCCCGCAAAGCGTTCGGTATTTACGAGGCTGAGAGTATCCTCGTAAATTGGAGGAGTAAATCACCTTCCACCTTCCCTATATTTGCTCGTCTCTTTGTCAGTAAAAAGGGAAAAGCAAACAGTGGAAGAGCTCCTGACCTGACCTCAACTCCCCAGAAATTAAAAATTAGTTTGCGACCTCCATGGCAACAAAAGCCCCACTTGTGCTCCTATTTGCACTGTCCTCAACAACCAAGCCATCGCAGTTTGCCAGATTATTTCATTTTATTTCGGTTTTTTTCCCCCTGCCCCAGGCTCAGAAAAAGCTGGCCGGGGAGGGTGAGCAAGAAAGAGTGGGGGGGGGGTTGCATGTGCACGTGTGTTACTCGCTGGAGAGCCTGACGAGATCCCACGTGATCCCTTTGGCCCTTTTCTTCTGAGCCATAAAGTTTTTAAGCTTTGCTAAACAGACAATCCATCATGCCGGCAAAGGCCGTTTTTGTTTTTTTCTTCTCCTGGGCAGACCTAGGAAATGTTTGGCCGTCCAGAATCCTTACACTTTTCGGGTGTCCCGTGCGTAATGTTGACGGCACTTTAAAAAAAAATAAAATAAAATAAATAAAGCTAATTTTGGAACGGGGAGTTAAGCTTTTGTTTAGCGGGGATGGAAACAGCTCTGTCAAAGCCACCCAAAGGATGTAAAATTGAGGAATAATATACGGCTGGAAAGAGAGAGAGAGAGAGAGGGGAGGGGAGGCAAGGAGGGAGGGGGAAGAGGGAGGAAGAGAGAGAGAGGGAGGGAAAGAGGGAGGGAGAGGGAAGGACAAAGAGAGGGAGGGACAGAGAGAGGGAGGGAGAGAGGGAGGGAGGAAGGGAGAGAGAGAGGGGGAAGGAGGGAAGGACAAAGAGAGGGAGGGAGAGGGAGGGACAGAGAGAGAGGGAGAGAAGGGGAGGATGGGAGAGAGGGAGGAATGGAGGGAGGAATGGGGGGAAGGAGAGAGGGGAGGGAGGGGGGAGGGAGGGAGAGAAGAGAAGGGGGGAGGGAGGGGGAGGGAGGGAAGGAGAGAGAGAGGGGAGGGACAAAGGGAGAGAGGGAAGGACAAGAGAGGGAGGGACAGAGAGAGGGAGGGAGAGAGGGAGGGGGAAGGGAGAGAGGGAGAGAGGAGAGGGGAAGGAGGGAAGGACAAAGAGAGGGAGGGAGAGGGAGGGACAGAGAGAGAGGGAGAGAAGGGGAGGATGGGAGAGAGGGAGGAATGGAGGGAGGAATGGGGGGGAAGGAGAGGGGAGGGAGGGGGAGGGAGGGAGAGAAGGGGGAGGGAGGGGGAGGGAGGGAAGGAGAGAGAGAGGGAGGGACAAAGGGAGAGAGGGAAGGACAAAGAGAGGGAGGGACAGAGAGGGAGGGAGAGAGGGAGGGAGGAAGGGAGAGAGAGAGGGGGAAGGAGGGAAGGACAAAGAGAGGGAGGGAGAGGGAGGGACAGAGAGAGAGGGAGAGAAGGGGAGGATGGGAGAGAGGGAGGAATGGAGGGAGGAATGGGGGGAAGGAGAGAGGGAGGGAGGGGGAGGGAGGGAGAGAAGGGGGAGGGAGGGGGAGGGAGGGAAGGAGAGAGAGAGGGAGGGACAAAGGGAGAGAGGGAAGGACAAAGAGAGGGAGGGACAGAGAGGGAGGGAGAGAGGGAGGGAGGAAGGGAGGAGAGAGAGGGGGAAGGAGGGAAGGACAAAGAGAGGGAGGGAGAGGGAGGGACAGAGAGAGAGGGAGAGAAGGGGAGGATGGGAGAGAGGGAGGAATGGAGGGAGGGAGAGGGGGAGGGAGAGAGGGAGGGACAGAGAGAGAGGGAGAGAGGGAAGGAGGGACAGAGAGAGAGGGAGAGAGAGAGAGGGAGAGAGGGAGGGGGAGAGAGGGAGGGAGAGAGGGAGTGAGGGTGAGGGAGAGGGAGGGGGAAGGGAAGGAGAGAGAGGGGGGGAGTGTTGGGGAGGGGGGAGGGGTCTGCAGGATGGGCTCAGAACAGGACGGAGGCTGCAGCCGCTTGGGGCCCTTCAGAGAAGAACAGGTAGAGCTCCATCACACCTTTGCGGAGACGGCCTCGATTCACATGGAAGAGGAGATTTTTTTTTCCATCTACACTTTATGGTTTGCCGGGTGTTTTTCCTATTCCAATAAAAGAGAAGATTTGTGGCTCAGGGTTGAAATGAGGGATCCTGGGTGCTCTCTCACCTTGGTGGTTTCCTTGCAGACGTTTCGTGACCCAGCTAGGGAACATCATCAGTGGTGGAAGGGAGTGGTGTAAAAAAGCAGAAAAAAGCGGAAAGGGAGGAGGAGGAGGAGGAAGAAGAGAAAGGAGAGGAGGAAGAGGAGAGGAGGACTGTAGGGTCCTTGGTGCTCTCTGACCTTGGTGGTTTCCTTGCAGACGTTTCATGACCCAGCTAGGGAACATCATCAGTGCTAGAAAGGAGTGGGGTTTGCAGAGAGGAGGAGGAGAAGAAGCAGAGGAAAGAGGAAAGAGGAGGAGGAGGGTCCTTGATGCTCTCTGAGCCGGGGGGGCTTTCCGGATCCTACTCACCAGGATGAAAGCGGGGCTGATGACCCCCCAACAGATCCTCCAGAACCAGCCAGGGACGAATCCAAGCATCTCCTTCACTTCGCTGCAAAATTGGGTGACTCCTGCGGAGGGACACAAAGACGGAATGAGGGCCGGAGCTCAATGCGAAAGACGGCCTTTTGGGTCACGCCAGTTCAAGCCATGAGGAGCCAAAGAACGTCGCAGCTCCCTTGTCCTTCTTCCTGCACCCCCACCCCCACACCAAGGTATTTGCAACCTGAAAATACCTTGGGAGTATTTTCATAAATTGGGGAGCGGGGGGGGGGGGGGGGAAGGGAATTGCAATGAAGTCAGTTCATTGAGAAAACTCAACCCTGATGCCTGCAAGAAGATCGTGAGTGGCGAGAAGAAGCCGGCTTCCAAATTTATTTTATTTTTATTTATTTATTTTTATTTTATTATTTCACATTTATATACCACGCCTTCCCCCGAGGGACTCAGGGCGGTGTAACAGCCAGATAAAAAAACATACAATACAAACATTAAGACCAATTAAAAGGATATATATTAATTCGGCCCCGGTTTAAAATGACAAACCAATTAAAAATTTTAAATTTTAAATTTTAAAAATTAACAAGAGCCTTGGTAGTACAGTGGTCTAAAGCACCCTGTTATTAACACCAGCTGCCTGCAATTACTGCAGGTTCGAATCTCTCCAAGGCTCAAGGTTGACTCAGCCTTCCATCCTTTCTAAGGCAGGTAAAATGAGGACCCAGTTTGTGGGGGGCAATAAGCTGACTTTGTATAAATATACAAAGAATGAAGGCTATTGCTGAGCACATTGTAAGCCGTCCTGAGTCTCGGAGAAGGACGGCATATAAATCAAATTTTAAAAAATAAAATAAAATTAAAAATATGTTAAGCCAGCCCGGCTTGATGAAAAAGGAAAGTTTGAAGGGCACGGCGGAAGGCACGGAGGTCTTGGATTCTCCTTATCTCAGGGGGCAGCTGGTTCCAGAGGGTGGGTGCCCCCACAGAGAAGCCCCCCCCCCTGGGGGTCACCAGCCTAAATTGTAGGGATCTCCTGAATTCCTTGTCCTTATGGAAGCCCACCACATCTAGACCAGACACAGGTGCCTTCACCTTCTGGGTGGTGAGAGATGGGAGGGGGGGCACCAGGGCTGTGCCACCCATTGGTTGCTCCCCAAGGAAGAAGCCATCCTTTCTAACCCATCGTCCCCCGTCCCCCCGCAATGACGCGCAGATGGGGGCTCACCATAGAACCAAGCCACGGCGATGGATTCCAGAAACACCACAGCTATCACCGCCGGCCCCGTGGCATATTCTTCAAAGAGCTTCACCACGTAGGCCCCTCCCTGGGAGGAAGGAAGGAAGGAAGGAGAAGTGTTGGGAGAAGGAAAGGGGTCTCAGAAGCCCTCCTGGCGGGTGCAGCTCATTCGAACTCCAAAGGAAGAAATGGCCCCCACGTGCGAGAAGACAAAATTAGGTCGGAAAAGCAGCTTCTGTTTAACTAACTATTGATCTGTCAGATTTATTTGCCACCCATCCCGCCGTTGAGGCTACCCTGAACTCTTTTAATATTTATTATTATTTATTGGGTGGGAGTCCTTGGTGCTCTCTGAGCTGGGTGGAAGG